TTACAGGCTGAACTGTGAGAATTGATTCCAAAAAAAATAGGAATATAAATGGGGATATTATTTACATCAGTGGTTCTCAATGTAGGGAGTGGGAGTGATTTTGTTCCCCAGGGGACATTTGGCAATGTCTGGAGACATTTTTGGTTGTTATGACTGTGGGTTGCTACTAGCATCTAGCACATAGAAACATTCTGTAATGTACCGGGCAGCTTCCCACAACAAAGAATTATCCAGCCCAAATGTTAACAGTGCTGAGGTTGAGAAACCCTGACTTACAACCATTTCTTGGAAGACTTATTAAAAGTGACCATTTATTCAGAAGTGCTACCTTCAAGAGTACCAAGCTATCGAGTTTCAGTTTCCCAAGGGGATTTTACATCAGTTGTCAAGTTTCACTTTGTTTCCCTTTTCTCTACTTGCTATGTTTTATACGTTGATAAGAATAAATTCAAAAGATAATAAACTACTGATTATCCCAAGAATCCACCGACCTAACAATCTGTAAAAAAAAAAAAAAAAAAAGGATATTCAAATTCCATCTAGTAATTCTGGCATGTTAAGCACCCACTCAACAGTCAGGTCTTTTGTTTCTTCTCAATCCTAAAAATGCACATTTCTTTAAAATTTTTACAGATGATATTTGGTTTTCTCCTAAACGATAGAAGCAGATAAGCAGGAGTTTTTTTCCATTGATGTTTACCACTGATTGCCATCAGTTTAAACCTTAATAAACAAAGACTATCTCTTGATCAAAACACAGCTAAGGGAAGGAAAAGGAAAGAAGTAGGAAAGTACTGGAAAAATTTTCAAACACTGCAGCTCTATTAAGTTTTTCTACATCTTTAGTAAAGAGGATTCTAGATTTATTTTTCTACGCAAAATAAATCTTCTAGCACCTTTTCTAAAATTTGGCTTTCCATTTCATTCAAGATAAACACTACAATAGCCTACAGGTCCACCACACCCCACTGCCTCTCTGACCTCATTTCTTATGACTTCTCTTCTGCTCTCTCCACTCCAACCGCACCATCCACACATGCCAAGTATGCTCCCACCTGAAGGGCTTTGCATTTACTGTTTTCTCTGCTTGGAATGCTCTTCCCAGGATATTCACAGTGTTCCCTCCTTCATCCTCTTCAGCTCTTTGCTCAATTGCCACTTTTTCAGTGATACCTTCCCTCATCACCAATTTTATAATTATAAAACATCCCACACCCTAACCCTCTCTATACCCCTTTCCTGCTTTATTTTTCTCCATAGCACAGGGTCGCTATGAGTCGGAGTCGACTCAACAGTAACGGGGTTTTGGTTACTAACCTAAACGCTGGCAACTGAACCCATTCAGCGGCGCCACAAAATAAAGCCTTGGCAACCTGCTTCTGTAAAGATTACAGAAGAAACTATGGAGCACAGTTCTCTCTGTAACACATGGGATCGTTATGAGACGGAATCCACTGAAGGGCAAATAGGTATACTGACAGTGGAGTCCCTGGGTGATGCAAATGGTTAACATGCCTGACTGCTAACCAAAGGTTTTGACCCCAACATTTCTCTACTAGAAATTTACTCAATGGAAATAATGGCAATAATATGTGAGTTTCTCCTAAACAATATAATACAGCATTGCAGTGTTGTTTGCTGAATCAAAAATTACAAGCAGTGACTTCAGTTTCCGCTTAGGACGTAGAAAGCTGGAAGAACAGCATCGCTTCCACAATTAGTAGAAAAATAACGCTGGACAATCTGCGGTTATTTTTATATTAAAAAGAAAAAGTTAAACTGAGCGGCACTCAGACTCAGTAAGGCAGGTGAGAGCCGAGACCACCGCGGGGTTTCCTAATTCCAGGGGCCCCTCCTGCAAATTCAACTCCAAACCAACCTGCGCTTGGCAAACATCTCTCCGCCGCTCCGCAGCGTGGCCCAGCCCCTCTCAGCTCCTCCGGAAGTTTTGGTTTCCAGAAGCCGGACTCCACCGGGTGAGGGGGATCAGATTCACTTTCTAGTTTCCTTTTCCTTCTCGGCTCCCGGCTTTAACAAAGACAACCGCCATGGCACCAAGCCAGAGCAGCAAACGCCCCTCTGGAAGCCCGCGCCGCGCGCCCGCCCGCGCGCTCTCGTCGACGCCGCGCGTCCGCGCCGCCGCTCCTCAGCCGGAGATCCGTGGTCCTGAAGGGAAAAGCACGAGGGACTGCCGCCTCCCAGGACGGCCAGCAGAGCCTAGCCACCATGAGGTAAGGGCTTTTCCCGGCTTCTCCCAAACCCTGCTTAGGCCTTTGTTTCAAACTGGCGTTTTCCTTTAATTCCGTTCCCAACGCAAGCGCTATGGCCTTTTAAAGCGCAGAGCTTCTCGCTCCTGGCAGCCGGGCGTCTGCGTTCGGAACGCTCCTCAGGAGCCCTGTCCCGGTCCCGGCGTCTGCATTCGGGCCTGTCAGGGAGGGTGGCCGAACGGACGCTCCCCAGGAATCGCGAACCTCCCGGGCGTCTGGAGTCGGGCTTGTCAGGGACGGGGACCGCGCGGGACGTTCCCGGGAAACCTTCTTCCTTCCCTGGAGTCTGACGGCGGGACTGTCAGGGCGTGTGGCCTGGGGGGCTTTCCTCGGGAGCCCTGTCACCGGCTTAGGAGTCTTCGGTCGGGTTTGTCGGGGTGTGTGGCCAGACGACGCTCCCCGGGAGCCCTGCCCCCTCTCTGCGGCTCTCCTCAGCGCCGGGATAGTGACAGTGCTTTGCTCGCGGGAGTTGGTGGCTGCCTTCTATTGGATAGCCGGTCAGCGCCTGCAGAGCCCTCTTCTCCTGCTGGGGAGAGTCCCTCAGGGGCATTCCGGGCGGCTTCTACGTGGCACGGGTTTCCTGAGGCCTGTCGCGTTCCTCTCCATCCCAAGTCTGTAGCTGCCGTCCCCTCAGTGTCGGTCAGCGCAGCTTCGCCGCAGCCCTCCAGGCGTCACATATGTCAGCTACTGCCATTTTGCCTTTCTTATTTCTGAGATGCAGTCTCAGTCTTTCCCGTCCTCTAAGCCACCTTTGTACTATGGACAGATTGATATTGTCCCACCCAGTTCACTATTTTAGGAAGATTCTTTATCTGTCTCCTTTACAAAATTTATGATGGTAAGGTCCTTTTCTTAGCCATTTTGTATCCCCAAGGGCTAGCATCTAGCCCTGCTCGTGGTTAGTGAACCATCCACATTTAATGAGTTGAAGAATGAGAGGTTAAGATCTTGGGCTTTAGAGGCAGATAAATCCTTTGTTCTAAATCCTAACTCTGAGCATTAATTAGCTGGGCAACCCACAGCAAAGTTTCTTAACCTCTGTGAGCTTCAGTTTGTTTCTGTAAAAATGAATGGCATCCATCTCTTGGGTTGTGAAATGGGTTAATTGAAATAATGCATATAGACTGCTTAGCACATAACAGTTGCACAATAAATATTAACTCTTGTAAGTAAAAAATGTTAAATGACTCACTGCTAAGGTTTATAACAAAGGAGGGAGGTATCAAGAAGGGCCTTGAAGGAAGTGAGACTATAGGTAGGGTTGTTGGAGGCCTGGTGGCATGATGGTCAAGAGCTCGTCTGCTAACCAAAAGGTTGGCTGTTCAAATCTGCCAGCTGCTCCTTGGGGCAGTTCTACTCTGTTCTGTAGGGTCGCTATGAGTCGGAATCGACGGGACAGGAACAGGTTTGTTTTTGTTTTTGTTTTTGTTTTAGTTTTATGTATATGTAGGATGATGGGGTAGAAGAGGGGTGAGCCCCACTGGGGACTCACTGTCTCCCAAGGACAATGAAAGACAGCTCCAGAATCACCTACAGATAAATGTTTTCTCTTCAGACACAATAACCTCTCTCTTACAGCTTCCCAGGGAGTAAGTTAAAAAATAAAAAAGTAAAAAACTTCTTCTAATGGTGTCTAGTTCTTTGTAAATTCTGGGGCCTGGGCAAAGCACTTTAGTGGCTGGCTGGCTAAGTATCCCTTTGAGATCTCACAGCCACTAGTATCTGATGGGGTCTTCCTCGTCCGTCCTGGGCTGGCTTGGTAGAGACCTTCAAAACCTGAGGCAGACATTCATTTTAGTCTATGAATGGTCAGAGAGCCAATAAGCCTGCATTGTCATGGATCTAGGCAGGTTGTGAAGGTATGGTATGTCTTGCCCATGCTTTTGGTGCAGTTATACATCAGACAGGAACAATTACTAAGGGGTGGTCCTACCAGATTTCCCAGTCAAGACCACAGGAAACAGTCCAAAACCTATTCTCAAAATCCAAACGTGGAGCCAGGTAAAGAGCATACAAAAATATAATAGCAAAGAGGGGCAGGGACTGAACTGGGAGGAAGTTTGGAGCCATCAGCAGGAAAGGAGGGACTGCTAGGAATCCCCTTAACTGGAATTCAGGTGTTCTTTATGCTAGGCCTGTGACCCTGGGTTGGACATGTCAGGAATTGCTGGTAAGTAACTGCATTCATTCAGTCATTCAACAAATATTTATTTATTGAGATTCTATTATATTCCTGAAATTCAGAGGTGGAAACACAAACAAGGTTTCTTTTCTCATGAGACTTATATTTTAATGTGGGAAGTAGACAAACAATTGATAAGCGAATACGTAAACAACATAATTCAGTGTTAAGAGCTGTAAGAATAGTAAAACAGTGTAATGGGCTAGAGGGTGACCCAGGATGGAGGAGCTATTTTAGATAACTCTGTCACAGGCAGCCCCTTACAAAGTTATGCTGTGAAGAATATGCAAGAGTCCAGATCATCTCCTAAGCCAGTTGCCCATCAAGTCGATTCCAACTCATGGCGACCCCGTATGTGTCAGAGTAGAACTACACTCCATAGGGTTTTCATCGTTGTGACCTTCTGGGAGCAGATTGTCAGGGCTTTCTTCCGAGGCACCCCCCGGGTGGGTTCAAACCACTAACCTTCTGGTTAGTAGCCGAGCGGTTAACCGTTTGTACCCTCCAGTAACTTCTACAGGTGGCTTCTTAGGTAGGGAATATTTGAACTGAACTACAGAAAAGAGCTAGTCATCAAAGATTTGGGAGTGGAGCGTTCCAGGTAGAATAAGAACAGCAGGTGTAAAAGTCCTTCAACTTAGTATGTTTGAGAGAGAGAAGGATCAGTGTATCTAAAGCACAGTAAGTAATAGGGAGAGTAGTGGGAGAGAAGTTTTGAGAGATAGGTAAGACCAGCTCCTTTAGGGATTTGTAGGATGTGGCAAGGGCTAATTAATACCTAAGGATGTTGGGAAGACACTGGAAGACTTTAAGAAGGAGAGTGACCTGGTTTATGTGTTCAAAAGTTTACTGGTCTTGTTGCAGGGATTGCAACTAATGTCACAAAACAATTTGTGTATAAATTTTTTAATGCGAAACTAATTTGCACTAAATTTACATCTTAAAAAAAATAAAATTAACAACAACAAAAAAAAGTTTGCTAGTGCTATATGGAGAATGGATTATGGAGAACCAGGAATGGAAGCAAGGAGCCCAGGTTTTTTTGCCCCAGTTCATAGGACATAGTTGTAGTTTAGACTAGGAAAATAGCAGTGGAAATGAGGAAAAGTGGATGGATTTGAGATGTATCTGGGTGGTAGAATTAACAGGACTTAACTATTAGGTTGGATGAGGGGGTAAGGGAAAAAGAGGAATCAAAGTTCCAGTTGCCATCAGGTGGATTCCAACTCGTGGTGACCCCATGTGCTGTAGAGTACAACTGCGCTCCTTAGGGTTTTCATGGCTATGACCTTTTGGAAGCAGATTTCCAGGCCTTTCTTCCAAGACACCCTCGGGTGGGTTTGAACTGCCAGCCTTTCATGTAAGTAGCCCAGTGGTTAGCCGTTTGCACCACCCAGGGACTCCTAGTCAAAGATTACTCCTAGGCTATTTGGCTTGTAGAACTAAAGAGATGTCAACCAAGGTGGGGAAGGCTGAGGGAGGAAAGGATCAAGGAACCTAGAATTTCTGTACTGGATCTGTTTTTTTGAGATGCCAGTTGCACTTCTAAATGAAGATGTTGCCTAAAAATTAGGTAAGTCTGGTATTTAGGGGAGAGATCAGAGATAGAGAAAATATATTGAAGGATCATCAACATACACAATGAAAAGTCTTTAATTGGATTGTTGAATATAAACTATTTTAATTCATTTCTTATTTTAATAATGCCAATTAAATCTTTGATAACTTCTTGCCCTTCCGTAGAATCATTCTTACTGTATTTGTACCCAGCTACTCTTTTGTTGTTTGAGAGAATCACTAACATTCTGAAATAAATAAACCTCTCTGCCACTCCCTATCTGAAGCACTCTGCTCATTGCCCTGGTGAGGAGCAGCTCCTAGCAATGCAGAATGTGACTTTAAATCAAGGGGTCATATTTGAAATCACTATTAGTTTTCTTAACCTAAGGCCTTTAAATATCTGGCACATATTTTCCAGTTACACAAACCTTTTGTACCTCAGTTTAAGCAGCTCTAAAAATGCCTTCCTGTTTGCGTTTTAGATCCTCTTTCTCCCTCCCCCCATGAGGTGAATTTACATATGCTAGATATATCCTATATTTTAAAGCAAACCGTTGCAAAGATAACCTCCAATTTTAGTGAACTACATTGAAAAAGACAGTATAGCATTGTGGTTGAAAGATATAGGCTTTTGAGTCAGGCTGAACTAGATTTGAATTTTTGCTCAGCCACTTTATAGTGGTGTGACCTTGGGCATATAACTTAAACTCTGTATCCCAGTCCTCATCTATAAAGTTATGAAAATAATAGGAAGTTGTCATGAAAATTAAATGTAATTTGTAAAAAATGTTTGGCGCACACTGCCTGGCATGTAATAAACTCTCAGTGAACGGTAGCTTTATTTTTTAAAATTTTCTTGAGGACACACTTGATTCTGTATCGTGTATTATAGACATGTAACATTTACACTATTGAGTTGAATCTGTAGTAAGCCCAGGTCATATTCATAAAGTTGTTTTTTCATATATGTCTTGTTTTCCATCTAGTTTAACCCTTCTCCTTGAATAAAATAACAAAAAGTTCAAGTTAAAGGAGAGCTCTAAGCTGTTGGGTTTGAGGCTCTTGTATCCATTAAGCCCTATAGGCCTGGTGTCTACAATTGCCTTGTCCAGTACGGTAGCCACTAGTCACATGTGGCTATTTAAATAAAATTAAGTAAAATTAAAAATTCATTCCCTCAGTTGAACTAGCCACATTCAAGTGCTCAGTGGTATACCATATTATGCAAATGAAAAGATAAGAACATTTTCATCACGGTAAGAAATTCTGTTGGAAAGCTCTGGTCTGGGACTTAT